AAACACATGCACAATACTCTTTCCAGGCCCTTTTGTCTCCTGGTATCCATTTATAGAGACACCAGAGACAAGTTGCAAGGAAACACAGTGCAAGCATGTTATTAAATTTGCTTGCACTGTGCAGAACAAATACAGGACTTTTTTCTCATGCTAGAGCTCTTCAGCAGGGCTCTGCGCACGGTCTGCCCTGGAAGAGTATTGAACCAACATGCTCACTTTGAGAGGAGGCGTGTTTGTCATTGGTGATGACAAAACACACCTCCTCTGCCCCGCCCCCTTTTTAGTGGGCCGCTGTGTTAAAAAAAATGCCCGGGCCGAATTTTTCTCCCAGTCCGGCCCTGCACCCCACTCCTTCCATATCCAAACATCTCATTTCCCAAAATTTGAAAACTTAACATGAGACTTACTTTTACATTTTCTTTAGATTTATTAAGTATATTATACAGAATTTGTGTTACTTTACAGTCCCTGCTATGGCGATAAAAGACCTAGAGGTTCAAAATATATCTTTATATCATTACATATTTGTACAGAAAATTGCCAAGATGTAGGGTACCTCTGAACTCACTAAGAGTCATCCTTCAGCACTCAGGAAATGAAAAAACCTCCTGTGGAGGAAACCTCTGAGGAACCATTGCTTGAACGATTGCCCTTCCCTTTGTTAGGGACAGTTAATTTCACGAGTGCATTTCATCAAATTTATACTTGAGACAGGCAAAAACATATCTGCCACTGCATTTATCAGTATTTCTGCAAACATTAACTGGCTACTTAGATATCTTCTTAAGAAATAGAAAAACAAAACAAAACAAGTTGCATTAAAGAAGTAATTTAAAAAATATATATTTTTCCTAATGAGCAGGAACTTTAAAAAAAAATATGAATAATTTACTAACCATAAATAACAGACTGCAAAACAATTCCACATATTTCTTAATGTATAAATAACCAATTTGTGAGGGGTGGTGTGTGTGTGTGTGAGGGGTGCTGTGTGTGTATGAGGGTGCATTGTGTGTGTGGAGGGGTGCTGTGTGTGTGTGTGAGGTCTGTTTTGTGTGGGGGATGCTTTGTGTGTGAGGGGTGCACAGGGACGTATTATCCGCGAGGCAAACAAGGCATTTGCCTTGGGAGGCATTTTCCAAAGGGAGCTCTTCCTCTGAGCGGTCTGCTCAGCAACCTCGCGCGCCGCAGAGTGAGGCTGGGAGCCGGAATATGACGTCATATTCCGTCTCCCAGCCTCACTCTGCGGCGCGCGAGGGAGCTGAGCAGAGTGCTCAGATGAAGTGCTCCCTCGCCAGCCGCCCGCCCAGCGCTCCCCAACCGCCCAGCAGCCACTGGACCCCCAGGGGGAAAGACAACCCCTCCTGCCCCCCAGCATTCCCAAAGGTAAGGAGGTGGGGGAGTTAAATAAATAAAAATATGTTATGTGATTGTGTGTGTGTATATGTCTGTTAGTGAGTGTGTGTGTGTCTGTTAGTGTGTGTGTGTGTGTCTGTTAGTGAGTGTGTGTGTGTCTGTTAGTGTGTGTCTGATTTAGTGTGTGTGTGTGTGTCTGTTAATGTGTGTGTGTGTGTGTGTGTGTGTGTGTGTCTGTTGGTGAGTGTGTGTGTGTGTGTCTGTTAATGTGTGTGTGTGTGTCTGTTGGTAGGTGTGTGTGTGTCTGTTAGTGAGTGTGTGTGTGTCTGTTAGTGAGTGTGTGTCTGTTAGTGTGTGTCTGTTAGTGTGTGTGTCTGTTAGTGTGTGTGTCTGTTAGTGTGTGAGTGTCAGTTAGTGAGTGTGTGTGTGTGTCTGTTAGTGTGTGAGTGTCAGTTAGTGAGTGTGTGTGAGTGTCTGTCAGTGAGTGTGTGTGTGTCTCTTAGTGAGTGTGTGTGTCTGTTAGTGAGTGTGTGTGTGTCTGTTAATGTGTGTGTCTGTTAGTGTGTGTGTGTCTGTTAGTGTGTGTGTCTGTTAGTGAGTGTGAGTGTGTCTGTTAGTGTGTGTTTCTGTTAGCGAGTGTATGCGTGTCTGTCAGTGAATGTGTGTGTATTTAGAAGGTGGGGTGGGGGGAGGGTTGGGTGGAGGTGGCACGGGGGCAGGGGGTGCCTGAGTTTTGTTCTGCCTAGGGCAGCACAAAACCAGGATACACCACTGGGGTGCAGAGTGTGTGCATGAGCGGTGCAGAGTGTGTGGGGTGGCTGTGTGTTTGTGAGTGGAGGGTGCTGTGTGTTTGTGAGGGGGATGCTGTGTTTTTGTGAGTGGTGCTGTGTGTGGGGGGGAGTGCTTTATTTGTGTGAGAGGTGCATAAGGTTAGGAGAGCATATGTATATTTAAAAAAACAAAACATTAGTAAAAGCTTTGTGTCCACACTGCCAGCCCTGGTGGTAAGTAGTTCTCTATAGCCTGCAGCTCTTCTGGCTGCAGGCTGTCTGTACTTCTCCTGCGAGTTGAGTGCTGTGTCAGCGCATTGCCATGGCTTCTTCCCAGCTCCCTCCTCCCTCTGTCACGGACGAAGGGCCTCTCGGGCCGGCAGAAGCTCAGCTCATTCCGGGACACTACATTGTCCCAGAATGAGAGTGCCTGGGACCTGGGACAGATTCTCAAAATGCGGTACTGTACTGGGCAATCCGGGACACACGGGCACCCTACCCATGGGCGTCCGCAGGGGGGGGTGGCAATGGGGGGCAGCCTAAAGATTAGGGGAGTGAGGCTGGGGGCGGGGGCAGCAGCCTATAGATTAGGGGAGTGAGGCTGGGGGGGAGGGCAGCAGCCTATAGATTAGGGGAGTGAGGCATGGGGGGGCAGCCTATAGATTAGGGAAGTGAGCATAGGCGTGCGCAGCCTATTGCATTCGGGTGTGCACCCTAAAGCACAAACACACGCAATGTGTATATGTATGTATGTATATATACATATATATATATATACACACACTGCTGTGTGTGAGGGTGCTGGTAGTGTGCTATGTGGGTGAGGGTGTTTTTGTGTGTATTTGTGAGAGTGCTGTTAGTGTGCTGTGTGTGAGGGTGATGTTTGTGTGCTGTGTGTGAGGAAACTGGTAGTGTGCTGTGTGTGTATGTGTGTGTGTGTGTGAGAGGGTGTTTGTGTGTGCGTGTTTGTTCAGGTCTTGTTTGTGTGCTGTGTGTGGGTGTTGTGTGTTTGTCAGAGGGCTGTTTGTGTGTGAGTGTGCTGTTTGTTTGTGGGTGCTGTGCGGGTGTTGTGTGTGGGTTTTGTGTGTTTGTGAGGATGCTGTTAGTGTGCTGGGTGTGTGTGGGTGTTGTATGTGTGTGGGTGCTGTGTGTGCGAGGGTGATGTATGTGTGTAAGTGCTGTGTGTGTGGGTGCTGTTTGTGGGCTGTGTGTGCTGTATGTGTGTAGGTGCGGTGTGTGTGTGTGTGTGTGCTGTATGTTTGGGTGGAGGTGGGGGCAGATTAGTTAATATCCCAGTCCTGCTGCCTTCCCTGGTGGTTCAGTGGAGAGTGAACTCTAACCTGGGTTCTTTGCTGCCTCCCTCCATGCTGCTGTGGACCGGTGA